AGGTATCTTAGCCCATTTGATGGTTTCAGAATGCAGACCAATTGGGGCCACACAACAGGTTCGACTTCATGATCTGAAGAGGGTCACATGTTTGAGCTGCCTGACAGTCCAACCCGAGTTAATTCAGAGAATAAGAGAAGCCCAGACAGTTGACCCCGCCCTGGTAGCCCGCAAGAAGGATGCAGAACAGGGAGGGAGCTCAGAATTCCGAATGTCTGCCGATGGACTACTTCGTTTCCAAGACAGAGTGTGTGTCCCAGATGACAGTGAGTTAAAAAGGGACATCATGACAGAGTTTTATGGCTCGAAGTTTGCCATGCACCCAGGAAGCACCAAAATGTACCAAAGCATGCGACCTCGGTTTTGGTGGCATGGGATGAAGAGAGACATAGCCGACTTTGTATCTAAATGTTTGGTATGTCAGCAGGTCAAGGCAGAGCATCAGCGCCCAGGTGGGTTACTTCAGCCTTTACCGATCCCGGAGTAGAAGTGGGAACATATCACCATGGACTTCGTATCAGGGCTACCCAAGGCGTGTTCAGGACACGATGCCATATGGGTAATCGTTGACCGACTTACCAAGTCTTCCCACTTCCTAGCCATCAGGATGACCGATTCATTGGACAAGTTGGCAAGGATGTATATCCGGGAGATAGTCAGATTGCATGGGGTTCCAGTAACAGTAGTGTCCGACAGGGATCCCAGGTTTACCTCTCGGTTTTGGAGTAGCTTCCAGCAAGCTATGGGAACAAAGCTGTCTCTTAGTACTGCCTTCCATCCCCAGACTGATGGACAATCAGAGAGGACAATTCGTACGCTTGAGGATATCCTCCGAGCTTGTGTCCTTGACTCCGGGGGCCATTGGGACGACCATCTACCCCTGATAGAGTTTGCCTACAACAACAGCTACCAAGCAAGTATCGGCATGGCTCCATATGAGGCGCTATATGGGCGCCCATGCAGTTCACCGATTTGTTGGGAGGAAGTGGGCGATAGAAGATTGTTCAGCCCGGAGTTGGTAGAGGAGACCACGTCCAAGATAGTTAAAATCAAGAAGAACATTCAGACAGCTCAGAGGAGGCAGAAGAGTTATGTAGATATCTGGAGGAGAGACCTAGCGTTTGAGAAAGGCGACTGTGTGTTTCTTAAGGTCACTCCTTTCAGGGGAATTAGTAGGTTCGGCAGAAGGGAAAAATTAAACCCCCGATATATTGGACCAATTGAAATCTTAGACAGGATTGGTACCGCTGCCTACAGACTAGCACTACCTCCCGAGCTCTCCAGAGTCCACAACGTGTTTCACGTATCTATACTACGTAAGTACAACCCGGACCCTTCTCATGTCTTGGCTCATGAACCGCTTCCACTCCAAGAAGACTTGTCTTATGAAGAAGTACCGGTCGGTATCACGGACCGAAAGAGCAGAATACTCCGCAACTGGAAAATATCATTTGTAAAGGTCGTGTGGCATACCTCACGCTCAGGGAGGCTACTTGGGAACTGGAATCAAAATTTAGAGCCCAGTATCCCCATTTGTTCGACCAAGAGTAAGAGGCAAATTTGGGGGACCAAATTTCTTTAAGGGGGGGAGAGTTGTAACACCCATTAATTTTATTATTATTATTATTTTTTTTTTAATTTATTTTATTTAGTTTATTTTGTAATTATTGAAATTTTAATTGATTTATTTAATTTAATTTAATAAAAAAAATAATAATAATAATAATAAAATTGGGTAAAAATATTATTTGGATTTAATTGAAATTAATTTTGGGAAAAATGGGTGAAAATTTGGGTTCTGGGGGTGTTTTTGAAAAGAAAATCGGAAACCGGGGGTCAAAACGTAATTTAAAAAAGTTGTGCCACGTCAACACCACGTCAGTAGCCACGTCAGTGGCCCGGTCAGCAACCTCGGCCAACCAGGACGCGCCGCGTGGCAAGGACACGCTGACCAGGGGACGGGCCACGGGGGCGATCCGCGTGCGTGCGATCGGACGGCCCAGATCCGTTCTCGCACGCACGGACGGCTCAGATCAAACGTGCGCACGGACGGCCCAGATTCACGCGCGCGGACGGCCCAAATTCACGCGCACGGACGACCTAGATTCAATCAGGCACGGACGGCCCAGATTGCATCGCGATGAACGGCCCAGATTTAATCCCAATTAAATCGCGATCGAACAGCCCAGATTCAATCTTGATGGACGGTCAAGATTAAAAGGCGAAGAGTATAAATACCCCCACCCACACCTGACCAAAGAAACCCTAGCCGCCAGTGCTCGCCAGAGAAGAAGAACTAGTCGCCGGAGGAGCCAGCCGCCGCCACCCACCGCCGCACCGGGGAAATTTCTGACCGCCGATCGAGGTAATTTTTCTCCCCCTTGCTCGTTTTTCGACGCTGAGTCCGCCTATGGCTAAACTGGAGCCAAACCACCGGCCAAACGGCCGAAAAACTCAGCCGAAACCCAACGGCGTCGCCTCGCCCCTCCTCGATTTTTGCCTCCGATGAGGCCCTTCCCGGCCTCCGTTCGATGCAAATTTTATACCACTGTGATCACCGTTCTTTTCTCTATAGGTTAATTAGAGCCAAATCACCAAAACACGATTCACACCGGAGAGCCACCGCACCCGAGAGCACCGCCACCGGTAAGCTTCGGTTTTTCGTAATTTTTTGGCCCACCGAGGGCCCTAGGGTTGTTTTATCGCAGGGACCGATGCAAGTGTGGCCGAATTCGGCCAAAAACGGCCAACCTGAGGCGAATCGTCACCTCAAGCGGCGGCGCCGTCGCCGGAGTACGGCGGAGCCGCCGTGCCGGAATTGCGATATTGGCCGAAAGGGGCCCTAGGCCTAATTTGGGATTTTTGGGACACGTGCAGGTATTAATAGTGCGTTTCAGCTTCCCAGAAAAAATTCAAGGAAAATTAGGGATAGCCTGTAGGCGCACTGTAGAGCCGTATTCAGACCCCGAAACATGTAAGGACCCCTCACCCTATTTTCTATCACGGTATTAAAGTTCAATAAATGATAAAACGATATTTCATGAATCAATAGATATGTGAAATTATTTAAGGTCGCTAATGGAGCCCGAGTCTGGTGTGTTTGTCAGTCAGCTGTTGTTTGTCCTATTTTACAATTTTAAATGCAGTATGAGGTCTGATGTTTTTATTTCATAGTTTTG